GGCCTCGAAACTTTACAAGGAGCCCACAAAGATGCAGATCATGAACCACATCCGTAAGAGTGGGCTGGAAGTCATCGTGATCTTGGAGGGTATCGACAGCTCGACATCCAACACCATGCAGGCGCGCAACTCGTACACTGATGAAGACATCGCATGGGATGCAACTTTTGAGCGATGTGTCGTTAAGACCTCGAGGGGTCTCTGCATCGACTTTGATCGCTTTCACCTGCTGAAGCCGGCGCCACTGGACGCAAAGCGTTGTGTCATGTCGTCCCAGTTTTGAGATAAAAAAAAAATGTAGAGCACACCCAGTAGCTTTCTCTAAGCGATGATTATTGGTGGTACATTTAATGAAACAAGCAATGCAACGAAGCGCTAACCTGGTGCTATTCTCGTTAGCAAACTCCGTGTCGTACTCGTAGAGCTAGAACAGCAGGTGCAAGAAATAAATATCATGCCAACTAACATTTACAACCATCTACCACTTGAGAACACCCATCGGTACTTCGGCTCACGTCTGGCGCTGACGGTTTTGTCGACGAAGTCTTCGTTTTAGCAGATTGGCCTCTGTGAATGGATACAAGAAGAATGGTGAACTTCATAAGTTATCAAACAACCCGTGCGAATAAACCCAGAGCACACCGTTGATTCGACGCTGTTCTTCTTCAATATCAGTTCGATCACGTGTAAAAGCTACCGAGAATGCTCGAAGCGGAATTAACAACTTCGGTTTGACGTTGGTGGTAGCGCCATACTGGGAGTCAGCTATCCCACGGAAAAAGCGAAACATTGTGAAACTTAGCTGACCAAAATTCTTCAAATATCAATATCATCATCGTTCTTACCAGTTTTGCGGATATCACGACCATCAGCAGCACCCACTATTCCACTCGCATCATCCTTCGCATTGCATCGCGCCATCACCTCCGTCTCAATGTTCTTTAGAGAAGACACCTCGTCAGCCAGCATACGCTTTTCCTCCTCCAACGCGGCCACTGTAGCACTCTGTTTCGCCTGCAACTCCTCCAGTTGCATACTCTGAGCCGACAAACGCTCTTCCAGAGCACACTTCTGGCTCCGAAGGGCATTCATCTCGCCACCGGCCTCAGCGCTCGACGTCTCCAACTTTGAGGTTGCCACTTCTAGCTGCTCTGACAGCAATGACAGTTCACTCTCCAGCTGGGCCACGCGGTCGTCCTTCTCATTGCATCGCGCCATCACCTCCATCTCAATGTTCTTTAGAGAAGACACCTCGTCAGCCAGCATACGCTTTTCCTCCTCCAACGCGGCCACTGTAGCACTCTGTTTCGCCTGCAACTCCTCCAGTTGCATACTCTGAGCCGACAAACGCTCTTCCAGAGCACACTTCTGGCTCCGAAGGGCATTCATCTCGCCACCGGCCTCAGCGCTCGACGTCTCCAACTTTGAGGTTGCCACTTCTAGCTGCTCTGACAGCAATGACAGTTCACTCTCCAGCTGGGCCACGCGGTCGTCCTTCTCATTGCATCGCGCCATCACCTCCGTCTCAATGTTCTTTAGAGAAGACACCTCGTCAGCCAGCATACGCTTTTCCTCCTCCAACGCGGCCACTGTAGCACTCTGTTTCGCCTGTAACTCCTCCAGTTGCATACTCTGAGCCGACAAACGCTCTTCCAGAGCATACTTCTGGCTCCGAAGGGCATTCATCTCGCCACCGGGCCTCAGCGCTCGACGTCTCCAACTTTGAGGTTGCCACTTCTAGCTGCTCTGACAGCAATGACAGTTCACTCTCCAGCTGGGCCACGCGGTCGTCCTTCTCATTGCATCCGCCATCACCTCCATCTCAATGTTCTTTAGAGAAGACACCTCGTCAGCCAGCATACGCTTTTCCTCCTCCAACGCGGCCACTGTAGCACTCTGTTTCGCCTGCAACTCCTCCAGTTGCATACTCTCTGCAGCATGAAGGCGCCTCTCAATTGCTATCCGCTGAGTTTGCTGACGGATTTAAACGACCACTGGCATTTCTCTTGGTTCAGCGACAAGCACGTTCTGACCCAAGTTACGCTGAAGTATCCAAAGAACGCGTTCAGATTTATCGAAGCAGCCGTACTGGGACGAACGGATTCTGCCCCACCTCCTCCGTCATTCATGCCTGGATCTTTCAAGACAATCAAGGTTGATGACTTCTTGCCCCAGCCGGTTGATGCTCGTGCAGAGGAGATGATGGAACGATACGAGTTGATGGCAGATGTGGTGGAACCAGAGTTTCTCATGGCGAGGCGGATGGATTATGCGCGACAGTTAGTCCAGTCGATGCCTATGTACTCTTACATGTATACGTAGTTCGTTGTTTCAATCTTTACGAGGCACTATCGTGAATGAACTTTTATCGCTGTGTTGTATGTGCCAATGCTTGCCTAGGACTACATGTACCAGCTTTTTAACTTTTCCATCCTGATAAATATAAATTTAAGAATAAACAAAGATGGAGGTAAATTCACACAAGAGTGCATGAATGCAGCGCAGAAGCGCTACTACCCAAATTCGCGTTATGCTCTTACAAAATGAGGTCGAAATAACATGAAATTTGTATTTTGAGTGACTCACTAAATAGGTAGCGCCCCTTCTGTGACATCACCTTCTTTCCGCTTGAGTAACGGGTGATACATTTTCAAGAAATTCTCTCTCCCCCCTTTTTCCACATTCATCGGCTCGTGTAGAGATGGTGAAGCTTTTGTGTTTATTTTTTGTTTTGCCCAAAAACCCTTTTTCCGCGGGAAGTAGAGCGAGAGGCAAATTTGTGGGTGGAACTGGAAGGAAAGGCATCCCAGGGCGAGAGAGAGGCCCCAAGGACCTCCAAAGAGGGTTGATGCAGACAAGCTGCAGCTCTTCCTGGCGAAGAAGAAGAAAGGCGCTGGGGTGTGGCTAACGGAGAACGACGTGAAGGTCGGTGTAAGTGACACGAGTGATTTGAAGCTGTTGGGCGTGGCAGGAGCGCCGCTCGGCTTGGTTGGCTTGTCGGAGAAGGAAGTCAACTTCGTACCCACGCTAGAGGATGTCGAGTCGATGAACACACCTGTTCAAGTGCTGGTGGCGTTGCCTCCTTGGACAAGTAGTGCGCCTATTTCTGATGGGACGAACTTATGGCTGTCGAGATTTCAACATAACG